ACTTTGAATCTCCCTTTATTTTACTTAATCACATAATAAGACTTTAAATCCAATTGTTTTATGCCAACGTCTAGGAGGACTAGGACGTACTTTAGACGAATTGATTTGCCCTTCAATTAATCAAATATGGAAACTTCAACTAATCGATGAGTATAATCTTCTCTTATACAAAGTATGAAATACATCAACGACTAAGTCGTCTATTGGTATGAGCCAATAAAATTCGAGATTGTTCGTTGGTACGAATGAAGTATTATTTTGATAGTAAGATGAATTCCAACAAATTTTGCACACCTTACTAAAATTAACATGTGTATGTAGTGTTAATAGAGTCAATGATGACTCAAGCTAGCTATTAGAGAATTGAGAAATCCTTGTTATATGCAAGCTAGCCATTATGGGTAAAGACTCAAAAAGACGCAATTTATTGATCGATTGATTAAATTAAACTTGCTTGTTTAGCAGGTTGATTAGGTACGGTTCATTCTGCTTACATTTTACTGGCTTAATTGTGAGAAATGTTTGAATTTTTTTTTTATTATTTTTTTTAAAAATTTTTTTTTTTGGGTAAGGAGAAGGCCCATCTTAGAAGGGGGAAATTTAAGGGAAATCGCTCCTAAAATGAGCTTGGTGAGATTTGACCGAGAAATATTTAAAGTTGGGTTGATAACAACTACGAGTATGCATAATATGCATCAGTGTATACATAAATACTAGGTTATGCATCAGTGTATACATAAATACTAGGTTAGAACTCGTGCGATGCACGGTTTATATAAAATCTATTTTATAATTTGTACATTTTTTTAAAAAATGGATAAATATAAATAAGAATTGTGCACCTTGGACAAAAATATCTGTACTTTTTAAATTTTAGATTTTTATCAAAATTATGATATAATACCTGTTCAACGTCACCTATTACATATTTCAATGTAGGAGTCTATTTATTAGTGTGCTACTTAAAATTATTTCATTTCTTAAGGATAAATTGATAGGTTGTAGTTGTAATGTAGAAGGTTCTAATATTCAAATTTCAAAATTATTAAAAATGATAGCTCCCAAAAAAAAAAAAATGACATCATCCTTGCATTGAGGCGGGAATTTTTTTATCATGAGAGTGACATGTAGACAATGATGACGTTAGCAACGTTTTGCTTTAGTAATAGTTAATAGATACATGTTCATAATATTCTAGCTAACTCATTTAGGGCTATTGTTAGGTTAACAATTGTTGGTAGAATGGTAAGTTATTCATGACCTTATGTCCTCATGCAGCTGGATTCAACTTCAAGGATTATGTTTAAAACATAACAAAATTAAATAGTTCAATCTACATATAAATTTGTGAACAAGCACAAATTAGCAGTAGATGAATAAAAAACGGTGCTCAATCAAAGAAAAATAAATCTTAGAAAAAAGTTAATAATTGACTTCCAATTAAATTGGATTTACGAATTCAAACGTGAAAACTCTTCTATTTGCGGATAGATTAAGTTCGGTTGTAGTAGCCTTGTCACGCTTGTGTAGTTGTGTTTGATATGAACGAACAATAAACATACCAGTAGTAAAGTAAAAAGATCTTCACAAATTTATGTTACTCCCTCCTCAGAAAATAGGGTACGATTACTATTTTAGGCAGTCAAATAGGCCACCACTTTGTATTTTGTAATTTAAATAAAAAGAGTTCGAAAAAGATTAGACATTGATTCATAGGTAGTAGATATATATATGACAGATATTTGAATGTGGTATTTCAACTCAATTATTTATAAAAATAACCTAAACTAGTTAAATGTAACGGCCTAAACCCTATTTTAATTTGAAGAATAAATGGTACCCTACTTTCCGTATTAGTGACAGAGAGAGTATTACATTTTTCCTCAACGCGTAGTTTCGAACTCCATAGATAGTGTAGCTATTCTTTTAATCATCTAGAAGAATACACCTTTTGTTTTGATTTGTATGTATAATATATACTAGCTATTTGGTTACATGCGGTACGGTAGGTTCTTGCATTGAAATTAAAATTTCTTGTTGAATAAGTTACTTGACCGTAATATAATATTGCTAGATTTTTGGAGATATGAAGTCTGATTAATCTCTTCTTCCATGCAGAGACAAAGGAGAAGATGACAAGGCCATTGACGAAACTATTGTTACGGTCTTCAGGTGAAAGAGCTACGTTGTATGTATCTATTTTACTATTATTACTTTGCTTTGCAGTTTGATAATATGGTAGAAATTTAGCAAGTTTGCTGCACCAACTTCTTGCTTACCACCTTCATTTTTCATGCTCAAATGTGTCACATCCAACTTCAAATATCTTTTCATGTATGCATGCTAATTTAATTTGTACCAAGTATAATGACGTGAATTATTAACTAATCTACATGATCACACTAGCTAGTTAATTCAATTTGGGATAAAGTTACGTTTATGTTAGGACTTTGCGTATAATCCTGCCTATGGAATCGACCAAATTAAAAATAGGTTGCCGTATGTAGTAGTAGACTGGTAGTAATGTTTAGAGACAGAAAGTCCTACGAAGTATATATGATTATAGATTTGTAGCTGAGGTGTATATGCATGTACCTTAGCACGCACATTGACATAATGGTCAGTTCTCAGTGATCAAGAGGTTTTCTCCTGGTTAACGTATCGTAGTGCAATGCAGAAATCTGTAATATTAATAACAAGGTAGTCGAACGTTGACTTCTTTAGTCAAATTATTCAAGGGATAATCAAAGGCTTATTAATGGCTGGCTTGAAAAGTTTAGGCAAGCAAGGTACTATTTAAACTAAAAATATCTATCTTTAATCATGTACAATTTAAAATATAATTGATAATACTCCACATGACTAGTTATGAGTTCATTTATATTCAAGGTTTTCTTATTCCAATGCATAAATAATAAATGAGACAAACAAAATGAACAAATATAACACACTTGCTTTATCACACCAAACCAATATAACTACATGTAGAAAACGCGTTAGAACGGTTTTGTGAGGCAAGTTATATACTAGTACTTCTATTCACCACTACACCAATATGCATATGCCTAATTGCTTATTTGAAACAGAATAAACCTATTGATTCTAGTAAAATATGTGCATTGAATTGTAAAAAAACACAAATGAGACAAACACAAGGAATTGAAATGATTGCATTATTAAACTTTTATTATTTATTTTTATTTTCTAAAGGATGAGTATTTTCATCAATTCTTGGTTCAATCACCACACGTGTACTTCTTTATTTTTATTTGAGCAGTACGTGTACTTTTAATTAAAACAATAAAATGATCAATTTTGGTTAAATACTAGCCAATAATTTAGCTTTGCCTTTATTAGGTGTAATACAACATAATAGGTGCAATAATTAATTTTGACGAACGAAAAAAAAAAGAGGGGGTGGGGGGGGGGGGGGGGAGAAATCTTCCTCTTTGACCATCAAACTTTAATTTATTAGCTAGCTGAAAATTACTCGGTATACTCGTATCTGAAACATCATATTCATAAGCAAGTTTCGTTTAATTCATTGGTACCCACCTGAATTTCTCTTTTGAAACCTTACCTAAGTTCTTGGGATGTAGCTTTTGGATTAAACGAAGATTTCCTAGTTTAATCCCACTAGTGTAAATGATTAGTTGCTTATAATATATATTTACAGATGATTAATTACACTGATTCATATCAAATGCGCCGCTTGTCAACTTTCTAGATAGCTTAGCTTAGGTAGCTTCTTAAACAATTTCTCCAATATTATTTCTTGATTTTAAAAGGGTTTTATTTATTTTTTTTTATTTTTTTTTGTTAAATTAGAAAATGTTAAATGTAGATACATACTAAACATTAACAACATCAAAAAGTATGCATGTGCAATTTTTGTTATAACATCTATTTCATTCGAAATTGGTCTTACTGACCCTCATTATGAAAATTTGTATAATTAACTGGTACATGTATTGATCGATATGTGAGTGATAAATATGTTTCTAGAATAAATATCATATAGAATATGCTGAATTGAAGAACATAAGGTCATCGTAGACAATCATGTCAAGATCATTGTGTATATGGTAATTTTCTTGTTTTCTTTGTTTTAGATAAGACAAAGTTTGATCTTAAGAGAATAATACTGTTTTAAAATTTGCGTACCTTTCCTTCAAAAAAAAAGTACGTTGAAGAACATGGGCCGGGTTAACTTATTGAAGAGCGCTATGGTCCATGCAATTAGTGACAAAGAAGACGCAAATTTCAATTGTTACGTGCATGCATGGAGGCGGATTTCCTTTTTATTTATGAGCCACGATTGGTCCACGATGAATGCTATATTTGTCATTCTATTTTTCCTATTTTATCCATCTCAAAATTAGAGAGTTATTCATATTACATTCATCTGTTTTTCCTTATAAGTAAACATGTTATTAATGTACCATTAAGGCATAAAAAATCTACATGTGAAAACATTCTTTTTAGACTGGATAAAACCGAAAGACTTTGCTTCCAAGGCTATTAGGTGGATTCTCAAAGGAGACGTACATGACTAAGGCTCCCTAAAAATGAATCGATCCTAAACCCATCACCAAACTCGGCTTTAATAGTCATAATTAACTAACTAAACTAACTGACCACAAATTTTAAACTTCGTTGACAATTGTTTTGACTAGTAATGTGAAATCTATACATGTCGATAAAGTACGGAGTATTTTGCAATTATTAGGCGACTAAAATTACCAGTATTAATGTTTAAAAACAAATTTCCAAAGATATTTTGTTTAGAACTATACATTTTGTACGGAGTAGTAAACAGTTTCAAATTATAGCTATTCTAGCTTTCATCATATGATGAAATTGTTAGCCATTTCAATAAGTTATTACTTGTTTCAATTTCAAAAGTAGCAGGTACATACATGAAAACCGTAGACTAAATACGAGTAATTAAAGTTCGAAAATAAGAACTAGGGTGGTGGCTAAGCTTTGATTATTTTAAAGAGGGTTATAATTGTAATTTTAACTAACAAAGAGAAGAGTAGTGCTGGTATAGACAAGCCAATAAGAAGGCCCCGCGTAGTGAGTTAAATGAGCAAATAAAAAAATAGAGAAACGAGTGAAAGGAGTGTCCAGTAGTTGTGTATATAAATAGTAATCCATAGTTGTTGGTAGGACTCCAAGGAGGCAGGCAGCCAAATAATTTTTGTAAAAACAAGCAAACAAATTAAATTATACACTGAGAAAAACAATAAGAAAGCTAATCGAATTACTAGTAATAATAAACATAATTATTACTAGCATTAATATCATGGGAAGATCACCCTGTTGTGATGAACTTGGTCTCAAGAAAGGTCCATGGACTCCTGAGGAAGATCAGAAGCTTGTGAATTACATCCAAAAACACGGCCACGGTAGTTGGAGAGCTCTTCCTAAACTCGCAGGTAACTAGCCAACCCTTGATATCATCGTGTTTGTGTTAAAATTAGGATAACTTTCTCTAGCTAACTAGGATCATGGAAGACGCACTATTTTCAAAGTGTGCAGGTAACAATATCCAAAAATGTGTTCATATTGTGAAGTTTGGTTTTGTTTCAGGTTTGAACAGATGTGGAAAAAGTTGTAGGTTAAGATGGACAAATTATCTAAGGCCGGATATCAAGAGAGGCAAATTCACACCCGAGGAAGAACAAACCATCCTAAACCTCCATGCTATCCTCGGTAACAAGTAAGCCTTTTAAAAACTGAATATTTCTGGATTTTCTTTTGAAGCAATTTTATGATCAAACTTTGAATGTATTTAAAGTGATGATCCTTAATTCAATTTTCTTATTTTCTGTTACATGCGTTACACTTGGCTCGTTCAAATTTGAATTTGATGATCCTTGATTTTATAATGTGGGTACTAAACATTTTTTTTTCACAGTGAAAATCTCCGTACTAACCTCCTATTTTCTAATAGCGTAATTAGCTTAAAATTACTAACTTCTTTCAAAATTTGGGATCAAATCTTATCTACATAATTATTGTCCTTGTGGCTCTCTCTACACCAAAAGAATATTTATAATTACTTTCCCTAATATTTAATTTCTCATGATTAGGTGGTCAGCAATTGCAAACCATCTACCAGGACGTACAGACAATGAAATCAAGAATTTTTGGAACACACACTTGAAGAAGAAGTTGATTCAAATGGGATTCGACCCGATGACTCACCGTCCTCGGACCGACATTTTCTCAAGCTTGCCTCACCTCATAGCCTTAGCAAACCTTAAGGAGCTAGTAGAGAACAACTCTTGGGAAGAACAAGCTGTAAGACTACAAACTGAGGTGGCTAAACTTCAGTACTTACAATACCTTTTTCAGCCACCTACTAATTATCCCATGCCTAACCTAGACATGGACACCCTTAACCTTTTAAACTCTCTACCTTCAGCATTTTCTTCAAAGGATAACAATAATAATTTTAACCATAACCTAAACACAAACCCGGTTTTGAATACCGCGAATTTGGATAGTCCAAACCCTTTTGATGCCATCCATGATCATTTGCCAAGTCTAAAAACCCTGGAAACACCAATTAACTTGATCAACAAAGACAACAATAATAATAATGGTATTAGTTTGGTTAATAATGATCAAGATCAAATTGTTTTTCATCGTCAGCCTTGTGAGTTTACTGTCTTAAGCAAAGGGGAGAATTCCCCGACTTCTCCTTGGCTTCCTTCTTCGCCTTCTCCACCTCCGGCAGCCACGACCACCACCTCGGCCTCACTTATAGATGGTTGCAATACTACTTCTGCTACTAGTTTCTGGCCTGATCATCTCCTCCTTGAAGACTCCTTGTTTAATGATATTCCTTAGTATAGTATATTATTAGTATTTAATAATTTTCATATAGCATATTTTGGATTATTTTCATATACTGAGTCCTGTGAAAAGTTAAAGGTCTGTACTATATTTGCACCCTTAGCTTATCCCTTTTACGGTGAATATTTTCTAGTACAAATATACCCCTTTGAACTTCATTGATCGTCATATTATGGTGATTATATGATATATAGATCAGATAGCACATACTGTTGGTATGAATTATGGATTACTAATTAACTAAAGTATAAATGATTTGTTTATACAGAGATTAATCAATATATACCTCTTTTTATTAATAAATCAATATAACTGATTATTAAGATTACCTTCGTTTTTTTTTTAATCATTTTTTAACATGATATGTAATTACAGTATGTATACTAGGGTTTGGGTGTATGACTGAGTTGCTTTGGACCCACCTAGCTCGTGTATACACAGATGTCTATGCAAATACATCCATGAATCATTCACCTCCCTTTGCCCTAGAGAGATTAATTGCAACTAAAAGTACGGCTGCAATACACCATAGATTTAATTAAAAGGCGGAAGTACAGTGTTACCACCTCGGCCAACTGTTGATTCTATATATATCTCAAATTACCTTCACATTGTGTAGTATACTTAGTACATAATACGAATGACCAATTTTAATCATTTTAATTACGAAGTATACTTAGCTTTAGGTCATATTTTACATAATGATGTGGTCGGAGTGGCTATGCCCCGCTTCGTTTCACCTTAGTTTTCTTTATTGTTTATTTAAAAAAAAAAATATTTTAAATTTCTGTTTGTCAAAAAAAAAATTATATATAAATTGTTGGGATACCATTCACACTAGTAATATCTTTAGGTGCAAATTTGATCACTTAATTAGTGATTTGGTAGCAAACCACTTTTTACTTTATCTTAATAAAAGTTATTAGTCTTCCAGTCCAGCTATATGCCGAGATCGAGTAGTCTACATCATATCACACAGTTTTGAGGTGTTAATTAATACGAGTATCACTTATAAAAATGGAAATATGTGGTAGACTAAAAAAAGTTCAATATAGGTGAGAAGACATGAAACTTCAAGCTCGGGCAACATGTATCATGTATGAGCAAACAAATATAGCACGGGTAAATAGTATACTCGTACTGTATTAAGTTACTATGTACAATAATTTCGTATAATCAGGTTTTCCACTGTTCAATAGCTACAAAGTTCATCTAATTGTACGGTAGAAAATCAACATGGTTAACTTTGCATTTTCATCAAGAATATGAATATTAGAAATTTTTTCCTCCACAATTAACTACTCTGTATCTTCTTTCCCGCAAACAAAATATCACCCAACACCATTGTTATACAAAATATATCATACTAAAGTCGAAATTCGAAATCAAACGTATTAATGGAAGAAAGGATTGAGAAAAATACTTTGAGGCTATTTTTAAAAGTAATTGATCAATTCAAATTTTATTTAAAGAAAAAAACTACAGTAAATTTATTTATTGTTAAAAAAAAAAAATTATTCAACTCAATGAATGGTTAAGATTTAATACCAAATTTTAAAGGTTGAGATTGAAAGATTACAGTGGCTATAAAATTACTGTACCCAATGTATGACAATATGTTAAATTAATATCTTGTGAATATGCGTTACGTTGTAGAGTCCACTATATATGATTTTAAAATTTTAACTCGTACGGACTAAATGATTTTGTATCAATTAAATTAAACCGCAATAATTTGCAACAATCAACAATTTTGGATTTTTTTAACTTTGACTTTTGTCACCTAAGCAAGTCAAATTAAATTAACTGCACCACCACTGAACAACTAGAATAATCACACTTATTATGAGTATTATGAAGTAGTTAAATACATTAAAGGAAAGCCCTATTTTGGATCAAAAAGCACTTTTAAATGCTCTTTAACGTGACCTTTTCTTTCTGTAATTCTCAGGTGTCAAGTCTATTATGTGACCTAGCGAATTTGCTAATAACTTCGTATAACAATATCATAATAATGGTAATTGTAAGTTGAGATACTGTAAAATAAAAAAATAAAGATTGAAATGTGGGCCGAATTTCTTAATGTATGTATAACGTTGTGACGTGTTAGAAACACTGTCTTAGAAGCAAAATTCGCCCCGACTATGGTGCAATCGGAGATGGCGTTGTCTCCCAAGATTTAACACAGCAATCTCCCTTAATGTGCACTCAAAAAGAGAGAATAGGAACTCACAATATTTAAACCAAGTATAAACACACATATCTAAACCAAGTAAAATTTACTTCTCCCACCAATGTGGGACAAAACCCCTTTTCTTCCAATATATAAATCAAGTAAAGCTTTCCTTATCCCACCAATATGGGACAAAGAGTTTTCCTCCAAAACAAATAAAAACTTCCTAAACATTATTTCCAACAGTAATATTTAAAGCTCAGTCGTCACATTTTAAAACTCGCTCGTAAAGAGTCACAAAAGGTGGAAACGTAGACATATATAGTACACTAGTATTTGATTCCGACCAGTAATATATGTTGAACAGTGATAACTATTTTTTCGCATTACTATTCATTGCATGGTAACCTTTAATTTATGAGTGTTGTTGAATAAAAATGTGACTTTTTACTTTATTTAATGGGGAAAAATAAGTCCTATATGATTCTTTTCTTGCCTGTAGGCAATGAATCTGATCTCCATTACTTATATTTTTTGTATTACTTCATTACACTTAATCCCCCCTCCTCCTCAATTTTATCCGTGTACTTGAGTTGATTTAATTATACATATATATGCAACCACAAATGTACCATCTACTTGTCTTTTCCCAATTGAGCATAAAATTATGTTTCTTTGGAATCTCATCCCCAAAAGTCCATTATTGATTTTGTGTTAAGTCAAGCTTAACCCAATGAATAGGATTAATACCTTGGCCACGCTCTGCACACTATCGTATTGTATTATTTAAGTCAATGGTAGCACTACAAGAAAACAGCTGAATTCCGACGGACTTTTCCCGTCGGAAACAGGGGAAATCCATCGGAAAACGGCCTTACGACGGAATTTCGTCGGAAACTGTCTCTCGGAACAGTCCTTGTCGGAAATTCGACGTTTTTCGAGGGAAATTCCGTCGAAAGCCACTTTTCCGACGGAATACATTCTGTCAAAGCTGGTTTTGACTTTAGCCGAAATTTCGTCGCAAAGTTCCGACGGCGGAGCTGAATGGATTCCGACGGAATATTCCGACGGAAATTTCCGTCGAAAACAGTATATTCCAACGGAAATTTCCGTCGGAAACAGTATATTCCGACGGAAATGTCCGTCGGAAAATTGAATAAAAATAAATAAATAAAAGCCACCCCCCACCAGCCCCCTACCACCAGCCCACACCACCAGCGCGCCCCCTACCACCGGCCCACACCACCTGCCCCCCTACCACCTTAACCCACCTCACCTGACCCACCCACCTCCCCACCACCACCTTAACCCACAACCAACCCAACCACCTGCCCCCATCGCCCTCCCCACCTCACCTCACCGAAACCCACAACCCCACCTACCAACGTACCCATCCACCACCACCCCACCTAAAACCGTACCCACCCAGTACCCCCACACACCCCACCAACTCACATCACCCACCGTAACCACCATACCTCCAACCCATTTTTCCAAATATTGAAAAAAAAAAACAGATCTATACAAACTAAAAAAAAAATATAGATCAAAATGAAAAAATTGGAATAAAAAAATCGTGTTATTAAAATTATTAAAAAAAACAAACAGAATACAGAATTATTACAAAAAATTATTAAAAAAACCAAAATTATTAAAAAAATACTAGATCTATGCAAATTAATAATTAAAAAAAAAACAAACACAATATAAATCGGAAACAACAAAAACGAATCTGGGCTTTAATCTGCAAACGAGCGAAGCTGGGATGAATTTGCAAACGAACGAAGCTCGATTTTGGCCGGTGTTGCTCGGTGTTTCTAGGTCCGGTATTACTAGGAGTTGCTCGGTGTTGCTGGGTCCGAATTTCCCTAGGTGTTGCTCGGTGGTGATGGCAAAGCGGGGCGGCTTCAAGCGGTGTTGTTCGTTGCTGGTGGGGGCGGCATCGAGCGGTGTTGTTCGTTGATGATGAGAGAGAAGAGAAAAGGAGGAGAGGGAGAAGGAAAAGAGAGAAGAGAGAGAAGAAGGAGAACAGATCAAAGAAGGAAGAGGGATTAAGAAATGAGGAGAGAGAGGAGGGAGGTGAGAGAGGAGGGAGAGGAGAAAGTGAAATGAAGGGGAAAAGGGGCAGGTTTTAGGGTTTTCACTTTTCAGTGAAATTTTGGCTTTTTTTTGTTTTTTGTAAGTTGTATTCTGACAAAATATTCCGTCGGAAATGACCTTTTCCGACGGAATATTCCGTCGGACATATATGGGTTTTCCGACGGAATGTCGGAATATTCCAACGGATTTTAGTTTCGTCGGAACATTTTATTCCGACGAAATATTCCGTCGGAAAACCCATATATTCCGACGGATTTATATTCCGTCGGAATTTTCCGACGGATTTCCTACGGAATAAATATTCGTCGGAATATATGAGATTTCCGACGGAAATTTGTGTCCGTCGGAAAAAGGCCTGTTTCTAGTAGTGTGGGGTCTAGATCTCATTACAATGGCTCAAGCAACAATTCCTTTGCTTAGGTTTGTTTGTGTAGCCTTGAAAACCTAATTTCGTCGTTATTTGCAATTCAACAACATGTTTAGCATACTTTTATTCTGGTTTTTAAAGTATGTACATTAATACGAAGTATTCATTTTAATTTTATTTTGCATGTACTCTGTAACAAGAAAAATTCAAGTTACTAAGCACATCTCTTTTGTCTATATGAAATCACAGTAATCTCTGGTTTATAATGATAGTATGTCATGCACCCGCAAGGCCTCAAATATAGTTGAACATAAAGTAGTTACCAACGTAATGTCGATCAAGGTACTATTAATGCATCACTAATAAGCTTGGTGACAGTGGCGGACCCAGGAATTTCCGACTGGTGAGTCACAATCGATAACCAAATATGTAAAAAAATTTTTTTTACCAAACAACCAAATAATAGTACTAAAAAATACAACCAAATATTCAAACAGTACAAAATACAACCAAATGTTCATATAATACTACAAAAGACAACTAAATAGTAATGCAAACTTATTACAATAGTTCTCGACGAGTTTTCATGTTTTGATATCGATTTATGATATCTTCCATGCTAACATTCGAAAACAAATCATTCTCTAAACAAGTAATCAAACAATCATTCAACATTTGATCTCCCATGCTATTTCGTAGTTTGTCTTTCACGTGCTTCATGCCAGAAAATACCCTTTCCACACTTGCCGTTGCGACAGGAAGAAGCAACACCAACTTCAAAAGTAAATAGACCCTATCATGAGTTTCAGACAATCCCGTTTCAACCAATTTGATTGAAAGCTCACTAAGACCCTTCAAATTCCAAAACCTTTCATCTCCTCTAACAAAACAAATGTAACTCTCAAGTGTATGACCAAAGATTATCAATTCTGAACTTGGAAATTCAGTAGGATAGAATTTCGCAAGCTTAATCAATTTTTCCTTGTCAAACTTAGAAAATCAATCCACAGGACTCAAACAAGACATACACACAAGTAGTTCTTTAGTTATTTCGGGAAATCGATTTTCAAGTTCTTGCAATTGAAGATCAATGACACCAAAAAAACTTCAACTCGAAAATGATGTAGATTAGACACTTGTGGGCCTTTACCTCTAAACAACCTCCTCCCGGGAACAACATATTTATCCTCCATATTTGGAACTGCAATGTTATAGTCACCAATAAAAGAAATGACCTTTTCCATATGAGAATCCCATCCTTCATCTCTCATTCTTTGCAAATTAGTCTTGGTTACATTAACCATGGCCATTGCATTCACAATGTCTTGATCGTGCTTTTGTAAGGCCACATTCAAGGTATTTTTTATCCCAAATATACTAACCATCAAGTGTGCCACAAACACAAAATCAAAGGACATCAGAAAATTTGTAAGTGTTTGAGCTCTATTAGAATCTATTGTATCTGATACTTTTGCAATATCCTCAAGAGAACCAAGGATTACAGGGTATAAATCAAGTACATTCAAGATTGTCTTGAAGTGAGATCCCCAACGAGTATCACAAGGTCTACCTAATCCACATTCTTGATTTAAACCTGAACCCGTTTCAAGTTCACCTAGAGACAAAGCTTCCACCACTCTTTGAGCTTGATTTTCACAAATAAACACTTTCCTTTTTGGTGAACCCCCCACAAAATTCAAGAGAGGTGCAAGTACATTAACAAATAACCAAGCACAATCTGAATTCTTTTTAGCAAGTGCAACTTGAGTCAATTGAAGTTGGTGAGCAAAGCAGTGGACAAAATAAGCTTCTTTACACTCATTCTCTATAAGAGTCCTAAGGCCATTAATGGAACCTTGCATATTACTTGCCCCATCATAACCCTAACCCCGTACTTGAGAGAAAGACAAAGAATGCTCCATTAATAAGGATTCAATAGCAGTTTTGAGAGTCAAAGAAGCAATGTTTACAACATGCACAATACCAAGTAAACGCTCACACACTTCTCCCTTTCTATTAACATATCTCAAACAAAGAGCCAATTTTTCCTTGTCAGAAACATCAGCAGACTCATCAGCAAGGATAGAAAACAAACCACCATCAATATCTTCAAGCATTGCTTTAGTTGTCTCTTTTGCACATGCATTTATGATATCTTTTTGGACTTTTGGAGAAGTAAGTTGACAATTACTAGGAGCATTTTTCAAAACAACTTTAGAAAATTCAGGATTACCTTTGAAAATAAGGGCTAAAAGTGAAAGAAAGTTACCTTTTCTTAAGGAACTTTCTTTTTCATCATGACCACGGAAAGGAAACCCTTGGAGTAAAAGCCATCGGATTGATTCAATTGAAGCTTCAAGTCGCTTCCTATATGCATTTGTACTCTCAGCGGTCTGTTTTGTCAAGGCTTGTGTGATGCTTGACTTTTGTTTCTTGAACAAATCCATAGCTAACACTGCATTATTATGTGCACTCAAGTGTTTACCCACATGATTTCTTATTAAATCCGATCGATTCCATGATTTGAAACCATCACTAACAAAAGCATCACCTCCAAATGCATTTTCATCCTTGAATCGATAACAAGGGAAACAATAGGCAGCATCCTTTTCCACACTATACTCAAGCCAAGTCCAAGTATCAAACCACTTAGCACAAAAGCGACGCTTTTTGCCAAAAATAGAAGTTTGAGGAAATATAAACACTTTGGGCTGACAAGGCTTTCTTTGAATGTAAATTCTTCTCACTAAATCTCTATCATATTTATGAAATTGACTCATCTTTCTCCTCTTTCCTGGATCTTGTGGAAGATTAGCAAATTCATGTTCACTTAATCTTTCACCAAAGATTGGGGCATTAGGAGAACATTGGCCTTGTTCATTTTGAGGGGAATTTTGAGTTGAATAATGAGATGGAGATGAATGTTGTTCACTTTCTTGAGGTGGAGATATAATTTGTTCATTTTGTGTTGGATGTGGAAGAGAAGTTGGAGTAGGATTCTTTTTAGCAAAGAAGCTAGCAATGTTTTGCATTTCGTTTGGAGTGCGTTTTCTCTTCATTCTAAAAATTGAATAAATAATCAACTAAATCAAACAATATTCCCAAGAAAAATTATTTACAAAGATCATCCAAATAGAAAATTGACAAGATTACAATACTAACTAATAATTAACAAGCTTAAAATTGACAAGACTAAAATTAACAAACTAATAATTGACAAGCTAATAATTGACAACATGTCAAGCTTAGCTCTCTAATAATTAACAAACTAATAATTGACAAGATTAAAATCTGTACAAGCATTAGGTTCAAATTTCAGTAAAAACCCAACAACATTAACAAAAGGTTCAAAGTTTACCAAACAAACAACAATAAAATCAACCAAAGTTTCAAACTTTTACCAAAAAACTAACAAAATCAACGAAATAAAGAGAAGAATGACATACCCAATCACTGTGTGGAGGCAGTGGAGCCGCCTGTGTGCAGCGGCAGCAGTGAGCGAAGATGAAGAAGAAGCGAAGAGCAGTGAGCAGCACTAGAGGTCTGGCCGTCTGGTCCGCCGGTCGTCTGGAGGTCTCATGGAGTCGGCTACCGGCGGGTATGCGAGATTTGGGTGAAGATGAAGAAGCAAAGAGCAGGGGCTAAGGCTTGAGAAGTTGAGGAAGTCGGGCACCAGGCTGAAGATTGAAGTTAGAAAATAATTTTATTTATTTATTTTTGTAAAAAAAAAAACTTAGAAATTTTTTTTGGGCCCTGGTGAGTCATTTGACTGGCCCAGTTCGCCACTGCTTGGTGATGTTCCTAGCCTCTGTTGTGAGACTCATTGCAGATTAAAAAGGAAAGAGGGGGTAGTACATACACATATCGATGTGGCCGTCGTGCCATAAATGTGTTCAAAAAGCACTTTTGAATTCGATGAGTGCCGAGAAGGAAGCATCGATCTGACTAGCTATTTTAATTCAAGCAGTAGGTGCAATTAGTCTTTTTCCTTATTTATTCTGACAAGAGATTGACTCCAAATACATTAGTTATGAAAAACAAGCACATATGACACTATATATCTCATTTCCAATTTTAGTATTTTTCTCCGAAAGAGAACAGTCAGAAAACTACATAATGATGTGCCATACTTGATCAATTAATCTACATACGAGTATAATTTATGAGTAAACTGCTCGTGGAGCAAGTGATTAAGTTGTTATGAATAATTATGTACTGCATATTTGAATGTACGTACGTCAAGCCTGCACTTATATAAAGGTTATTAGGCCTTAATATTTAGTCGGTAATTATGTTTAATGGGCTACTGTATTTTAGGGCCCTATAGTGTTAATACTAGCTTGTATATAATCTCTTCTATACTGATGAATGACTAAGGAAAATTAAATCCTTGACATGGTATCGGAGCTATCAAACACTAAAAACCCTAAACCTTGAACAATTTTTTTTCTCTACAATGGAGGATGGGAAACTTGACCCTTCTTCACCGGACTACTATAGTGTTAATACTAGCTTGTATATAATCTCTTCTATACTGATGAATGACTAAGGAAAATTAAATCCTTGACATGGTATCGGAGCTATCAAACACTAAAAACCCTAAACCTTGAACAATTTTTTTCTCTACAATGGAGGATGGGAAACTTGACCCTTCTTCACCGGACTACTATAGTGTTAATACTAGCTTGTATATAATCTCTTCTATACTGATGAATGACTAAGGAAAATTAAATCCTTGACATGGTATCGGAGCTATCAAACACTAAAAACCCTAAACCTTGAACAATTTTTTTTCTCTACAATGGAGAATGGGAAACTTGACCCTTCTTCACCGGACTACTTAGGTGCGGGAGATCAACCTGGAAGCACGATTACTCACGTAATCTTACCTTGCGTGTTCTAGGGCAATCACTTTGTCCTTGAAGTCTCGTCGAAAATTTGTGTTCATCAATGGCACCATTACTAAGCCAACCGAGAAGAAGAAACTCCTCGATTGGGAAACTATTAACTCCATGTTAGTTTCGTGGATTTTACGGTCTATGGATCCTAAGCTAGCTGCGTCCATTCCATACTTTGAAGAGGCAAAACGTCTTTGGGATTATTTGGAACAACGATTTTGTGTGTCCAATGGTCTTAGATTACAACAATTGTGAGCAAGAATCACTCATTGCAAGCAAACTAAAGGCATGTCAATTGAAGAATATTATACGAAATTAATGGGGTTGTTTGACGACCTAACGAGGCTCAAACCGCCTCATGGCTGTGAGTGCGGTCTTTGTACCTGTGATGTGGCGGGTAAATATGCGACGGACAGAGAAGGTACTTCATCATTTTCTGATTGGTGTCGATGATGATCTTTATGCTACGATTCGAACCAATTTGCTATCTCAACAGCCTATGGCTGACTTGAATCGTGCCTATCAAGCCTTTCTTCAAGAGGAGGAATCGCGTCGCACTGCTCACGGGAAAGCTACAATAGAAAAAACGAAGGAGACTGCTCACGTGTTTGTTCTATCTTCTGATCGTGGCAAAGGCAATTCGGGTCGTCGTGATAAAGTGATGCTTTATTGTTCGCACTACCATAAGAATGGTCATGACAACAATGGGTGCTTTGAACTCCATGGGTACCCTCCTTGGTGGTTGGAGAAGTACGGTAGGCCTGGAAACAATTTAATGGGGCAGCCAATAATGCTACCTCTTGTAACTCTGCTTCGGCTTCTTCTCAACCCTCTATTAAGGGTCGTGCCTCGGGGACACCAGGCCATGTTCGTGCAAATGTTTTTGGCATCAGCATTGGTGAGTCATCACCACTCACTGATTAGCGTGCTGCCCCTGTTCAAATATTATTGAATGCCATAAATTATCGGCAGCAAGACAAGATGATTGGTAAGCGTCTATCCTCGTCTTGGATCATCAATTTGGGGGCGTCTCATCATGTGACAGGGGATGAAACTTGCTTGGTGGACATCCAATCTGTTTTGTCATGTCCCGTGGGTCTTCCTAATGGTGATCAGGCCATTGCAACGAAGAAAGGCCATGTATTTCTAACCGATGATCTTATCCTTCAGCATGTTCTTTTTGTCCCACAATTATACTGCAATCTAATTTTGGTGTCAAAATTAATTGATGATTCTAATTGTTTTGTCCGGTTTACTAGTGATTTATGTGCTATTCAGGACCAATGTACGGAGAGCCTGATTGGAGCCGGTGAACAACAAGATGAACTCTATCACTTCCGGCGTATTCCTACAGTGTGTGCGATGCAAGTATCAGATGAGTCGCCGACTTTTAAGCTGTGGCATAGGAGGTTGGGGCACCCTTCGGACAAAGTCGTCAAGTTACTTCCTGTTGTTAGTAATAGCTCTCATAGGAAATCTTTAAATAAAGCATGTGTTGTTTGTACTCAAGCAAAATAATCTCGTGATAGTTTTCCTAATAGTGATAGTTGAGCTAGTAGAATTTTTGAATTAATACATTGTGATTTGTGGGGGTTGTATAAAACTCCTTCACCTTATGGTGCACACTATTTTCTTACTATAGTGGATGATTTCTCCATAGGTGTCTAGGTTTTTTTGTTGGGCTCTAAAACTGAAGTTTATTATGCGTTTTTCACTTTTTTTGCTATGATTGAACGTCTATTTGAGGTTTCTGTCAAAATAGTACGGAGTAATAATGGCACTGTTTGATGAACATGGAATTTTGTTTCAAACTTCATGCGTTGGGACACCTCAACAAAATGGTCGTGTTGAGCGAAAGCATCAACATATCTTAAATGTGGGGCGTGCCTTGATGTTTCAAGGCGAGGTGAATGTGTTCTTAGGGCGATTTATTTGATTTATCGTACTCCTTCTCGATTATTGAAAAATAAAACTCCATATGAGATATTATTTGGCAAGGAACCTAATTTTGATGAATTAAAAGTCTTCGGTTGTCTTTGTTTTGCTCATAATCATGGGCCAAGGGTGATAAGTTTGCTCCACGGAGTAGAAAGTGCGTGTTTGTGGGATATCCTCATGGGAAGAAAGGGTGGAAAGTTTATGATCTTGAACCGGTGATATTTTTGTTTCGCGTGATGTCATATTCCATGAACATGAGTTTCCATTTACTAATTTTAATACTATAGCCCAAGGGAATAATAATTCTCATGAGGACCCGAATGCAAGTGTGGGGGTGGATGCCGATTTTTTGAACGATTTGGAGGCTGTTTTGGAAATGGGTGAACCCACTACTAATCAGGCTAATACTTTGAATGAGGTTGTTGTGTTAGACTCCTTGGCAGGGGCTTCTGGTTGGGCTGGTTCTGTTCCAGTTGGCGGCAGTCAGCCTTCGGCAGGGGCTGATGCTCGGTAGGCTTCGAAACAGCAGCCGCAGCAGCAGCTTACTGCCCAGGTCGGTGGAAACCAAGTGAACGCTCGGGGTGGCAGCGCTGCTGTTTCAACCGAGCTTGGTTGTGGTCCTTGGGAAAAAAAAGGCATCGGGTTGGAACCGTAACTATGTTGCACACACTGTACAAACGAGTCCATCCCAATGTTCACCGTCTACTCCTTACTCTTTAGTTACCCCGTATCCTTGAGCACATTTTGTAAACTGTGATAAATTTTCATTGCCACACTGAAAATTTAAAGAATCTATGATAAATTGCAAGAATTGAGCCCCATAATTTTAAATTGTGATAAACTGTGATAAATTGCAGGAATTGACCCCCATAATTTTAAAGAAGCTATGACGGATGCGGGATGGAGAAGGGCGATGCAAAAAGTGATTTCTACTCTAGAGGACAATGAGACTTGGGTGATGATTGAGTTACCTCCGGGAAAGAAAGTTCTCGGGTACAAATGGGTGTATAAAATTAAGCACAACTTTGATGGCACAGTTAAGAGATAGAAAGCTTGTCTTGTCATTTTTGGTAATCATCAGGTCGAAGCAATTGACTACAAAGAGACATTTGCCCCCTTAGCAAAAATGGTGACGGTTCGTGCTTTCTTAGCCGTTGCTGTAGCGAAAATTTGGGAATTGCATCAGATGGATGTTTATAATGCATTTCTTCATGGCGACCTTGATGAAGAGGTATACATGAAACCTCCTCTGGTTTTTCATGGTACCAAGCCTGGTATGGTGTGTCATCTGCAGAAATCATTATATGGTTTGCGACAAGCTCCTCGGTGTTGGTTCATTAAGCTTGTCGGTTCTCTTAAGAGGTATGGTTTATGTCGGTCATACTTAGATTATTATTCACTATTTACCATGACATGGGAGGATATTCAGCTGATTATATTAGTGTATGTAGATGATTTAAACATTTTTGGTAATAATGCATCTTCGATCTCTGACTTCAAACGATATTTGAGTGAATGTTTTCACGTGAAGGATTTGGGAATTTTGAAATATTTTATTGGTATTGAAGTGGCTTGGAGTCCCGAGAGAATATTTTTAGTTCAACGAAAATACACTCTTGATATTATTGCGGAAGTAGGTTTATTAGGGGTTCGTCCGGCTGGATTTCCGATTAAACAAAATCATACACTTGCTCAGTCAACTAGTGCCTTTCTCGCGGATTCGGAAATGTATAGACGCCTTGTGGGTCGTCTGATTTATTTGTCCTTCACTCGTCCCGATTTGTCTTATGCGGTTCATATTCTGGCACAATTTATGCAACAACCGCAGCATGAACCTTGGGACACAGCATTCCGTACAGTTCAATATTTGAAGGGTTGTCCGGGACAAGGAATTCTTTTGATTGCAGATTGTGATCTACAATTGACTTGATGGTGTAATGGGCTTGTTGTCCACTTACGAGACGGTTGTTGTCAGATTGGTAACACACTGTTTCAAAATCTTCCGCAGAGGCGGAGTATCGCTCCATGGCAGCAATTACTTCGGAAATGAAGTGGCTCAAGGCTTTGCTTACTAGCTTAGGGGTGGCACATCCCCGAGCAATGAATCTCTTTTGTGACAGTCAGTCGGCTTTGCACATTGCGCAAAGTCCGGTCTTCCATGAATGTACAAAACACATATGAGGTGGATTGTCATTATGTTCGTGATGCCATTCAAGATGGCACTATTCGTACATCGCATGTCGAACGGATGAACAACTTGCGGGCATCTTTACAAAAGCCTTGAGGAAACGATAATTTTTTGTACTTACTTGACAAGTTGGGCATTTGTGAATTGCATGCTCCAACTTAAGGGGTTGGTATTAGGCCTTAATATTTAGTCGGTAATTATGTTTAGGCTATTGTATTTTAGGTCCCTATAGTGTTAATACTAGCTTGTATATAATCTCTTCTATACTGATGAATGAAAGCTAAGGAAAATTAAATCCTTGACAAAGGTCATTTTTTGAATGGAATTCACATTTCGTGCATACAGGAAAGTATCACCTTTGAATCTTTATTTTGACTATCCGGTCAAAAATAATTTTATACATCCTCTGTTTTCTTTTAAATGCAACACACCTTTTTGACATGCTTTTTTAGGAGGTGATTCGAATAGGTAAACGAGCTACATTATCAAAATAATTTTAACACCACGATTAGAGCGGGAAGGGTTACCTAATATGTGTATAAATTATTTTGATTAACTTGTCCGTTTACCTACTCTAATCACCTCCTAAAAAAGCGCGAAAAAAGGTGTGTTGCATTTAAAAGAAAACGGAGGAAGTATCTTGTAAGAGAAATCAATATTGTTAGAATTTTTTTTTTTTTTAGGGCAATATTGTTAGAACTTGATCCCTATATAACCTTTTGATATTTAGAATATCTCTTAAAAGTTATATGTATCCTATCTAACTTTTTTGGTAAACAAGAGTGAAGGATACCTCAAGTGGTTAGAGCTTCCTACCCAATTCTAGAGGATCGTAGGATCGATTCTCATCATCTACCCTTGTGGCTCTCTAGTCTTTACACACACACACACACACACACACACACACACAAAAAAACTTATTTTGGTACGCAATAATGAATTAGGTTTGGCCCAAGATCCTACTATTTAGTACTTCCTCTGTTTTTTTTAAATGCAACACACCTTTGACACGCTTTTTTACGAGTTGATTAGAGTAGGCAAACAAGCGAATTTAACAAAATAATTTTACCACTATAATTAGAAAAGGGTTAGTTACTACGAGTATAAATTATATTGATTAATTTTTTCGTTTACATTAAGATCTCTTCCTCAAAGTGCGTGTCGAAGAGGTGTGTTGCATTTAAAAGAAAATAGAGGAAGTATATTCGTATACCCTGAGCACCTTCATTGCACACAACACGATGTAATTAGTAGGATCCAAACTCTTTAACTTCAAGATGAATAGCCAAATGCCGTACCACTTACCACCTGTATCAAATCTACATATAGTTGATTGTAAATTTTGTGGCCTTAGCTTGTTCAATTACTTGACCATCAACATAAAACTTACCACTAAACCAAATAACCAAATATTGTTATCCCTATTGCCAAGGATTCCGGTATGTAGTTTTAGACACTTTGTCCCTTCATTTGGGGTTTGGAGTGTTTGCCCCATATCTCATTTTGAGTCACTCTTTAAAAATTGCCCCATATCTTATTTTGAGTCACTCTTTACAAATTGCCCCGTATACCGAACAAAAGAGAATGGAGGGAGTATAATGATATCGGGTCAAAAAATAAAAAATCACGAAGGCTGAGTAACATTGTGTGGTCTATAGCAAAGTTGTAAGGCCCAACTCCCAAGGCCCTAAAAAACACAACTGACAAAAGACGAACGATAGCCAGATCGACCCTCGCTCTCAACGCTGCCTCATTGCTGCCGGCACAATCCTCGCCGGCACCACCGTTGCCGTCGCTTTTCCGGAAAGTCTCTTTTATCTACTCTGTCATTGCTTTTATTTTTTTTTTTATTTTTTTTGTTTATATTCTTCCATTCGTTACTTCACTGGAAATTTGCCTTTGTGTTTGATGATTAATGAACAACAAACTATAGCATAATCAACAAATTTGTGGCAGCAATTCGTTTATAAAATTGTATAATCCAGAGACTTTTACCACCATTTCGTATTTATTAATATTATTTCGCGCAGTTGCTATTTATCTTCCTTTATTTTTAATCAATTGTTGTTCAAGGTAGTGTATAATTGAAGAACCCTTGAATAATCGAGGAAATTGTGACATTAATTGATTACTTGTTTCTCGTTATTATATAGTGTGTTATGATTATTAGTTTGGTATATATATTAATACATGATTTTGTAATAGACTAATTGTTGATTAATGAATGATTGTTGTTCATGGTAGCATGTTTGTTCATGTAATCATGTGTTTTAACAAATATCTTTAGTGATAACTTTTGGTTAATTCTACCTGCATTATTGCAATAACAGTTTATTATCGTAAATCGCGGTTACACCCTCATCAATGGAGTCACTAATCCTTCAACTTCACGACATATCTGCTGTTAAATTTGACAACTTCAAGCTAAAATCCGGTATAGCCTCTCCAGTCTATATAGACCTCCGCTTAATTGTGTCCTACCCTAAACTCCTCTCTCAAATCTCCCAAACCCTCATTTCTGCCGTTGGCTCTGCCTCGCCCCCTGCATCCTTTGATGTCATCTGTGGTGTCCCTTACACTGCCCTTCCTATTGCCACTGGAGTTTCCATAGCTAACAACATTCCTATGCTCATGCGCCGTAAAGAGGTTAAATCATATGGAACTGGCAAAGCCATTGAAGGTGTTTTTCGTCCCTCCCAAACTTGCCTCGTTATTGAAGACCTTGTTACTAGTGGTGCATCTGTTCTTGAGACAGCTGCTCCATTGAGAGATTTTGGCCTCAAGGTTACTGATGCTGTTGTTTTGATTGATAGGTGAGCTCTTTCTAAAGAAAATAATAACAAAATGGGATAAGAAGATTTCTTAACTTCGTGTGGATATTAGTTGTCATATACCTTTTTGGACCGTCCCTATTTAGCTGCAACATTCGGACACAAAGTATCCTTTGTGTCACGGTTTTTCTAACTTGTGCCAGTGACGTTTGTGACAGCTAAATTGGGACAGAGGGAGTACTTTGTATATTTCCTTTAGCCATGTTATATAAGGGAAAAGTAGACTATAAATTTTGTTAATGGCTAATGTACATGGATGTTGGCGTATTAGGGAACAGGGAGGAAGAGAGAATTTGGCAGAAAATGGCATAAGATTGCACTCCTTGTTGAAGCTGAGTGAGATGGTTGGAGTTTTGAGGAGGTTGGGTAAGGTGGAAAAAGAAACAGAGAATATGGTGTTGAAGTTTATCAGGGATAATAAGGTTTCTGTGCCAAATTTGGGAAAAGAGAGAGTCGGGGGATCACACATGGCCTACGGGGAGAGGGCCAAGTTAGCTAAAAATGAAACTGGTAGGAGATTGTTTGAGATAATGGTAAACAAGAAGACGAATTTGTGCTTGGCTGCTGATGTTGGTACAGCTGCTGAGTTACTAGACCTGGCTGATAAGGTGACAATTTCTAGCTTTTGCATATATTTGAACTCTAAAGCTAACACCCTACATTAGTACATTTTTCTTATGTAGTCTAGGGTGGATTAAACGTTAAGTCGTAAATAAATGCCAGTAGCTGTATTTTAATCTTAATAGTAAAGAATTTTTCATACTTAGGTATTTAGCAATCTCTAAGGCCATGCTTATAGTCATTTTACTTGACCTGTTTGCTCACTGTGTTGTAGGTAGGACCAGAAATCTGCTTGCTGAAAACTCATGTTGATATATTGCCTGATTTCACCCCAGACTTTGGTACAAAACTTCGATCGGTATGTTTTGATCAATCTTCATTATTTATCCTAGTTTTATACATTTTTTCCCCCCACATACCATAACTCAGTAACCTGTTCCCACATATCCATGCGATTGTGCCTATGTGAACCATGTTGACTTCATGAGATACACAATACACCTCATTGAAGCTCATGAAGAAGTCTTCCGTTAAAAGGACCAGCTGCATTAGTTTTTGCCCTTTTGCTATGGAATTGACTTCAAAAATTTCTATTTCTGTTTTCCACATTTTGGTGCTTAAAATCTTATCATGACTTTTAAACTTTTTTTGCATTATGTGTGCCACATCTTGTTTCTCATGCAACTGTTTCGTCACTTTGGTAAATGAATTTGACAGATTGCAGACAAGCACAATTTTCTTATTTTTGAAGATCGTAAATTTGCTGACATTGGCAACACTGTAACTATGCAATATGAAGGGTAATAGACCAAATTGTTTTACAGTAAGTTTTTTCAGTCTTCTTCTTTCACTTGCCTCCTCTGAGCTTATCACTTTTCTTGTTTCAGGGGTGTTTATCACATTTTGGATTGGGCTGACATTGTCAATGCTCACATTATATCTGGCCCTGGGATTGTGGATGGTCTAAAATTGAAGGTATGCTTTATAGAATATGATTATTTAGAATGTCTTACTTTCTAAACTGAGAGAATATTTCAACTCTTAAATCTCAGGGCTTGCCTCGTGGCAGGGGGCTCTTGCTGTTGGCTGAAATGAGCTCTGCTGGTAACCTTGCTAGAGGAGATTACACAGCAGCAGCGGCAAAGATCGCTGAGGATCACTCAGATTTTGTCATAGGTTTCATCTCGGTTAATCCAGCATCTTGGAAATGTGGACTCGTCAACCCAGCCCTTATTCATGCTACACCTGGAGTTCAAATGGTGATTGGTGGTGATGCCCTTGGACAGCAGTACAACACTCCGTATTCAGTATGCTACTTTTTTTTTCCCTAATTACTCAATTTTGGGTACAGATTGTTCGAATAGCTACTGATATGTTAATTACGGTCTGAAATGTTGAGAGAGTATTATCTTCTAAATTAGAATTAGTACTAGCAAATTTAGATGACTGAAGTGTTGCCTGTTGTGCCAAAAGTATTCCTATGTATATCCAGCTGCTTTATTTGTAAGACCATGTGTTTGATATAAATTGGTTACATTGTTGCAGGTTATTTATGATAGAGGTAGTGACATAATAATTGTTGGTCGTGGGATCACTAAAGCAGCGAATCCCAGAGAGGCTGCTTGTGAATATCGGTGTCAAGGATGGAATGCATATTTGGCCAATGCACATGAGATAAACAGGTATGTTTGTAGTTTCTCAGTTTCGCATTACTTTGGGCTAACTTTTATAATAGCATAGCCATTAATATTATTTATGGAAGATCTGGAAAGTTCTATACACATTGGTTTAACAACAGGGTTCAAATCTGTTCTAGGCTTCTAGTTAGGCAATAGATTTGGCTAAGTGTTCCATAGCTTCTGTTTTGTTTTCACGAGTGATAGTTGACAATTGCAGCACCAAAAAAGAGGATCTGGACTGGTAAATGTGAGATTTTGAGCGTTGAAGTGGATGGAGTTTGGAAAAGGAGAAGTAAAAGGGAGAGGCTGGAAATCTAGTATTGGCTGGGTGGTTGAAGAAAAGGGAAGTAAACTTGAACTTTTGTAGGGTCAGAAAGAGTATTTTGTCTTCCTCCATTGCAGACTGAAATGAAGGCCATCTTAAAAAGAATGAAAGATGCTGCAGGTTTAATAAAAGAAGTGGTAGTTCGAATCAACTCGTAGGAAGCAATAAGAGCACTCAAATCAAATTACCCCCAAAAGCTGATGAACCAATAATACGCTTAGTGACAGAGTTAGAAGACTTGCTTATTCTTCTGGTTGTTTCTGCTGCTCAAAAGTAATAAGCTGTTATGGCTGATGAACCAACAAGCTCAATCTAGTGATTATGACTAGAGAACGGGAGTTAGTTGTCTCGCTTTTTCATGTGTTGTCCCCGAAAGAAATAAAGAATCCAAATGTAATCAGTTTGGTTTGTGTGCATATGTCTCATTGTGACGATTCGATTACCAATTTACCATCATGAAGTATTTACTTATGAAAAATCAGGTAGTAATACTACATTTTATGAAATTGGATACATTTTGTTGCTACGTCACAGAATTAAATGTTGTAAGCTGCAATTAGTGATTAAAATTTCAATTCTTTGAATTTAAGGAGTTGGATGTAAACATGGATTGTATAGTTTCAAGTTCTTAATCATCGGGCATGTCTTTGTCCAAATATTCGTTTCCAAATGCTAAAACTTTCCTTGTCATTATGTCAATGATGTTATGATTCCCATTATTATTTTTTTGTAATCTTCTATACACTGTCAAGTGGAAGCACGGACAGATAACTCCATAAAGCTTCTAATTCAACTTTCATGAATTTTGTTGAACTAAAATGTCTAAATACGACACTTAGCTCAACTTTTTAAAATCTTGTTTTGGCAACATATGGAATAATTGTTTGTTTGATTGACATAAAAAATACGAGTAATAAAGTAATACGGAGTAATATTTTAAAAAAGAACCTCAAATAACCATCAAAACACCATATACCCCACCTTTTCAACCTCCTCAAACACTTCCAATCTCAAATTCTCAACAAACCCACAACAAATCCAGAAAATGACAGATCCCGTCGACACCCTCCACCTTCCACCACCGGAATACACCGCCTCCGACGATCCACTAACCAACCTCTCAACGATCCGCAACCGAGTTGACTCACTGAGTCACATCCTATCCAACTCGGTCAACGGCACCGCCCCAATCTCAATAGACCAATCAAACACAATCTCCGCCGAGCTAACCGCCGCCATCCACTCCGTCGTCATCAACGGCGCCGCCCTCCTCACCGCCGCCACCTCATCCTCCCCGACCCACGTGGACGGCGACGATCTTGAGATCGTGGAGCTAGACTTGATGGAATTAACGGCTGAACACTCCCACACGTGTCAAGTTTGCGGGAAAGGATTCAAGCGAGACGCCAACCTACGGATGCATATGCGAGCTCATGGTGACAAGTATAAGAACATCGAGTCTTTATCGAAGCCGGATAAACACAAATACTCCGACATTTATGGTCGGAATACGAGGTTCTCATGTCCTTATGCCGGCTGTATCAGGAACAAAAGACACAAGGAGTTCAGACCGTTGAAATCGGTAATTTGTGTGAAGAATCATTTTAAGAGGAGTCATTGTCCCAAGAAGTTTCCGTGTCTTCGGTGTAAGAAGAAGCGGTTTTCGGTGTTGGCGGATTTGAAGTGTCATATGAAGAACTGTGTAGCGGCGACAGCGGTGGTGGTGGTGGAGGTGGAGGAGGAGACTTCTAAGTGTTCGTGTGGGAGGATGTTTTCGAGAAAAGACGAGTTGTTCGAGCATATGTCATTGTTTGAAGGGCATATGCCAGTTGCTGAAGACAATAATAAGTTTGATGTTTTAGAGGAAGTACAGGATGATTTCGGATTCGGATTGATTGAGGGTGATCAATGTTTGCAAGATATGGATTGTTTGTGGTCTTCATTTGAGGAGGAGGGTTTGCTCCGTTTTTGATGATTTTGTTGTGTTGCTCCTAATTTTTACTCTTTTTTTATGATTATTACTCAAATTATAGTTATACTACGTACTTATTTAGTTATTTTCCCTCCTTGAATGGGGTTGAAATTATTTTTATGTATTCGATTATTTTGGAGGTTAAGGAGAAATCTTTTAAATTATCGACTTTCGTATCTAATTTATTCTATTTTTATTGACATGAGCTTTTTTAATCTAATACACGTAAGGTCGGTCAATTACCCCTTTTAATGAAATGTACGGATATTTCAATTGACACTTTGACTCGAACTAAAGAGCTTGGAGATATTTCTATTGAAAAGGAGGCTTCATGTTATACATGAGGGTTTTTGAAACTAAGCCTACTAAGGCTTTTAGGCAATATGATCATCAAACTCGTCATATACGGCATCAGCATGGGATCGTATTAGCTGACGGCTGACGCCATTGTTGATGCATCTCTTCTGCTACGGGAAAAATATTCAAGTATAGTTCCTTTCATTTGAATGACAAGTTCTAATGTTTCCCAGACAACCACCTAGGTCAACCTCACATACTATTCACTTTTGTTCTTCATTCATTCATGCCAACTGGTTTTCTTGGTACATTTTCCTACCTATATTGGTTTGAATTTATTAAATTCATAGAAAAGATATACTTCATATTCAACTAAACTGATATTCAACCTTTTAATTTTAACTACATTAACATTTAGCATTTAGCTATTCTTTTTGTGAGACCTCCCCTGTTTCTGCTGGAACAAATATTCTTTTCCATCTTCGGTATTATACTATACTATTTACTAAATCACTCATGTTAATCCTCTAATAAAACTCTGGTACTCCGACACAGACACTACTTAACTACTACAACATAACTACGTAACTCATAACAATATTTGAAATGCTGACTTGTCAAATTCAATGATTTCAGGAAGGAGTGAATGAATGATATACCATTATATCACGAGAATGTTATTGCATAAAAACTTCTGAAACTCTAAATTTCAATTCAACTAATTTGATTCTTTGCATAACCCGTGAATTCATAGAGAAAATTCAACCTGATTTTTCCTGTAAACATGCATATATATACACACACGTACGCACACATGCATATACTCATCCTTCAATTACAATTACAACTTCATAGAAAATTTATCAATCAAATTTACCCGTAGTCCAAAAATCAACCGAAAATAAACAAAATATGTCGATTTCCTTAGAAGCATTGGCAATGGCAGGAGAAGATTATGCTAGCTTTGGCTTAGAAACTGAAGAATGGGAGCGCGCCGACTTAGAGGAAACACCAGACCACCTCCTGGCTGCTGAAGATGAGCAACAATATTGCAGTTTCTTTAATTGCAATAACGCTAATGATAAGAAGAAATTTGAAGTATCGAGAGGCAACTCTAAGTTAAGAGTGTTAATAATGATAATTACAGCTATTACTAGGCTAACGATGCTCATAAGAGTGGACAACATCTTGTGAGATAATTATCTCTATAATGCGTTTCCCCATGTTTTGTTCAAGCTAAGCTAACATGAGTTAAGGATTGCAACTCAAGCTGGCCTAAGGTTTGCTGTAATACCTTGTTAATATAACTTTTGTGAATTGATAAAGCATTTCTTGATTTTTACACCACTCATTCATTCTTTTTTGTTTGTCCCACATGCCTTTTTTGCACAATATCCGTTTTATATTTTGAACATAATCAATATCTTCTACATAAGGGTGCTAATCGAGTTGACCAGCTCGTTAGCAACTCGGACTCGACTCGATCAAAACTCGACTCGAGTTGGCTTGACTCAAATTCGACTCGACTCGAGAGGTTGACGAGCATGAGTTGAGCAAGCTCTAACTCGACTCGATAAGCTCGTGAGCAACTCGATAATATATTTTATTAATATAGAATTTACAAACAAAGTTATTATTATGAACAAATTTGACACTTATTAATTAAGAGTTAATTTATATTATAAAAAAAAAGAGTAAATCTTTAATAGTAAATAAAATAATTAAGAGAAAACTATATAAAGTGAATACAAACAATAAAGGACTATAATTTTAGAAGGGCCAAAATTTTAACGAGCAGATCATGGGCTACTCGACTCGACTCGAAACTTTAACGAGCACATAAAAAAAGTTTTCGAGTCGAGTCGAGCACCCCTTAGCTCGTGATTGACTCGCTCGATTGGCACCCTTACTTCTACTTAAGCAATATAGAAAAATATGAAATATTAAAAATGATATTTAAATTCTTCAAAATGTTTAACAAGATTCCATATGATTATGTTTTCCTTATCATTAACTAAGACATCTCTAATTCTTATGATTCCAATTAATTTAAGTTTTGAACCTAAGAGACACAATCTAGATCCACTTTAGTTTTGGGATAATTGTCCCAAATTAAAATTGATCCAAAATAGTGTATTATACTTTGAATTTTAGAGAATTTTATACTTTCTTAGACTCGAATATGATAGAGAATGAGATGATTCCCTTAGATCTCATGAAGTCATGAGACCCCGGAAGGCCATTTAGGTGGTTAAGATCATCTGCTTTTTCTATTAAAATTGTATCAATTTAGCTAGTTACGACTTACGAACGTGATTCTTGTCATTAACCGAAGACCATCCCGATAATTTGTGTGATCGATTAGTTGTCATCTGGGACTTTGCGCAGTGCATCCCTCACCTTTACTCGTGTTTTTAACACTAGGTCTTGAATTCTCCAAAATATTTAGATTTTGTGTTGGTCCATGGGAACAACATTTTATGACCGTGGAGGCATCCCTTACAATTCTGTGCATTTTCGACACTGCGTCTTATAACCTCTGAAATTGGTTCGAATTCATGTATTATAACCTTTAAATTTGACTTCTAAAAAACATTTTTTGACTGAACAAGATTATGTATCAAGGTGGTTCCTGTGTTTCCTTAAAGGCCACGGAAAGCTTACTTTCATAGATAAATGAAGTTAAAGGAAGATAATTCCTTGAATTATACCCTAATTAACTTAACCTTTGTCTAAATATCACATGCATAGATTTTTATTGATTCTCTTATTTGTTTTTAAAGTTTTAATTAGTTGTACATCACCTTTATTATGATGCTAGCTGCCTAGCCTAGCTCCTGCCTTCAACGTTATACTTGTGATTGCCAAAAACCAGCGGCACCAACTGTTTAAAACCACGGTTTTTATTTCCAAATCAATCTAGATGCACAACAAACATAATACGTAAGAATATAATTCAAGTTGAAAAGTGGATGCTTTTGTTGAAAAATGCCTAGATTCTCTAGGGTGGCAAGATTCCTCAATTAGAGGTGGGAGGTTCATTATTTATTGGCATTAGGTTCATTATTTATTGGCATTAGTTATTTGACAATTAGTTAATTTACACTCTTTTAAAACCAGTAAGATTATAACCTATTATATAGACTTTTTGCAATTTATCATTTGTGATTTTCATAACTTTTGGTTTCAATTTTTTTTTTTAATAAAATAATGGTTTCACTTGCAAAACCAAAATTAAGATTTATTTACATTATGATTATAAACCTATAATTACTAAAACACCGAACATCAGAAGAATAGAATATATTTTTTACTCCGTATTTTCTTCCTCAACAAATCTTATGAGAAAATATTGCAAAAACATTAAATTTATAGTATGATTCTTCAAATAAATAAGGATTCACTCCTTGAAATAGAAAAGCTAGGCATAGAAAATTTGAAACAAAATGAATAAAAAATAATAATGGAACAACATAGTTAGTTTGTGAAAGACAGTGACCCAAAAATAGCCAATACATAGTCATACTAGAGTTTAGTATCAATTATTCAATTGCAAGACAAGAGATGGGAAAAAAAAGGGGTAAATCATATACCCATCTCTCTGTCTCTCATTGGATAATAAATGGATAATGTATGCTTCCAAAAGTTTTAAACTTCTGCCAAAATACATGGAAAAATGGAAAGGATAAGCTGCTTTTCTCAATAATTAGGGTATGGCTCATCCAGCAGTAATTTGGTAAGAAATTTATGGTACACAAAATATCTTTTACAAGAGAATACGTGGCGAGGATTTATTTATTTTTGTACAATTCTAAAATAATAATGTGTCAGTTTAGAGTGATGCAAGAAAGTTCATATATTAACTTACTAAACCAAGAAAAAGGATTACGGAGTATTATTTTGGGACAATTTGAGATAGATACTTCTCGTTTGATAAGGTTACTCACTCAATTTAGAGATAATAGTCGGTTATTCAAACCACTTGTAATTAAGAATACTTCTCAGTAATAGTCGGACTCTTCATACTTAATACTTATAGTAATGTTTGAATCTTGTTGCTTTGGATAACCTACATTCAACTCCCATCGACATCAGTGGCGGACCCAGGAATTTCGTGGCGCACCCAGGAATTTCCGACTGGTGAGTCACAATCGATAATCAAATATGTAAAAATTTTTTTTTACCAAACAACCAAATAATAGTACTAAAAAAATACATCCAAATATTCAAACAATACAAAATACAACCAATAGGCAGCATCCTTTTCCACACTATACTCAAGCCAAGTCCAAGTACCAAACCACTTAGCACAAAAGCGACGGTTTTTGCCAAAAATAGAAGTTTGAGGAAATACAAAGTCTTTGGGCTGACAAGGCTTTCTTTGAATGTAAATTCTTCTCACTAAATCTCTATCATCTTTATGAAATTCACTCATCTTTCTCCTCTTTCCTGGATCTTGTGGAAGATTAGCAAATTCATGTTCACTTAATCTTTCATCAAAGATTGGGGCATTAGGAGAACATTGGTCTTGTTCATTTTGAGGGGAATTTTAAGTTGAATAATGAGATGGAGATGAATGTTGTTCACTTTCTTGAGGTTGAGATATAGTTTGTTCATTTTGTGTTGGATGTGGAAGAGAAGTTGGAGTAGGATTCTTTTTAGCAAAAAAGCTAGTAATGTTTTGCATTTCATTTGGAATGCGTTTTCTCTTCATTCTGAAATTACAAGACTAAAATTAACAAACTAATAACTAACAAGCTAATAAACACCCTAACTACTGTTCTCCGTGTAATAACAGTTTAAACAATTTACAGCAACAATCACAAGAAAAAACTTAAGAATGATTTAAGGTTTATGTAACCACAATTCAGACACTGTTTTACAATTCCTGAATCCGCCTAGTCTATACGGAACTTCCAGCCGAATATGCGACTAGCACCACTAACCAGTCCACACTGTAATCTAATTATAAATTTATAATCCTCCTTACACTAATAGCTGTCTTATACAATGTCCGGCATCACATAAAATAATAAGTTCAATTTAACAGTCAAAACACAAATAATGCAAATTCAATGAACATTCATCGTATATACTAATTTTAAGCAACAAGTAATGCAAATTTGATCAGAAATTCACACACAAAAAAAAAAGAATAAATTGATGATTACCTTGCCAGACGGCAGACGCTGATTGAGGCGAGTAGGCGGAGCAGCAGGGCCAACAGCAGGGCCAGCACTGGAGGCGACGAGGCGTGAGCGTGAGCCGATGAGCGAAGAGGAAGCGTTAACTACAAATCAACCAAAGTTTAAACCAAAGTTTAATAAAATTAACTAATTAGACTGAATTAAATTGAAGATAAGAAATTAAAAATAAAAATTAGAAATCAACTTACTAGTGAATTAGCAATTGCGTCGAAGCGATTGCGAAGAGGCGAAGAGCAGGGACCACAGAGACGGAGCAGGAAAGCATCAAGCAGGCAAGCAACAGAGGCAGAGCAGGCGACTGGAGGGTGGCTGGGTGGAGGCAGTCTGGTGAAGATGAAGCGAAGAGGAAGTCAAGAGGCGAAGAGGGAAGAGCAGCTGAGGAGGCAGTGGGCTAGGGCTTGAGGAAGTGTCGGGAAGTTAGATTTTTTTTTTATTTTTTATTTTTTAAAAAAAAAACTTAAAATTTTTTTTGGGCCCTGGTGAGTCATTTAGGCCCAGTCCGCCACTGATCGACATAGGTATCACTATCGATTTCGATTTCGGTTGCCAGCAACACAAGTAGACACAATTGGTATAGCCGTATAAGCTAAATATAGCAAAGGATAAGCTTCTATATATGGAAGAAGAGTAAGCTTAATTGCCTATATTAAGTCACAAAAATGGTTTAAACGTATCAATATGTCTAATGTCTAATGTCTAATATTAGGTTCACGGATATATAGTTATAACATGAAATATCTAATAGTAGTAATAAAAACCAGAAAAGGTGTAACTACTAAGTGCAAAATTAAAACAGCTTCCTTTTTACAAAGTGGTTTTTCAATTACCTTAAATGCAATGAATGCATACATTCACCATTTGCCCCCCTTATCCTTCTTCCTCCTTATAAATGTATCCAACAATCTTGCATTCCAGGATATCAGTGATCATAAAATATCTTCAAAGAATACAAAGCTAAAATAACAGATAGAAAGAGCAAGAGCGAGAGAGGTTCCGAGGTTTAGTCATGTCGATTGATGCATTAGCCATGGCAGGTGTAGATTACAAAGAAAGTGGCATCAGCTTTAGAGAGATGGAGTTTAGAGACATGGAATCCATACCAAAATATCTTCTAGCAGAGAATGAGTTCGGTAACAAGAAAGATGAGAAGAAGCGTGTAGTGGCAACTATGCTTCAACCAGATAGAAAGCAAAACAATGCGAAAATCCAACCTTGGAGGAAGGTATCAACTAGTAGAAGCTCTGGATGAAGAACCACAAAATCTATAGCCCTTCTTAAATCCTACGACAAAGGGGAGGGGCGGCAGAGTGGAGGCCTAACAAGATGCAGAGTACATAGTATTAGTAAGCTAATAACTACAATGATCTGAGTTTTCTATTTTGCTTTTCATAACTCTTCCATGTAATTGTGTAACTAAATCTTGCAGAAATGTGAAAATATGATCAATTAATTCCTAGAAGACATCCCCATCCTAAGCACCCATCAATATTCAATTGTGTAAAGAAGAGTGATCAAATTATCAAGCAGCAAAATTATTATATAAAAAAAAAAAAAAAATTATACTTCACCAGCAACATCAGCAATCATATTCATAAGACAAGCAGTCATCAGATAGCAATTTATGTAATTCCAGAGTATCCAGACTCTCCATTTGCCTTGCCAACTTATTCAAGGAGGATTCGCAAAATGATTACCACTCAAGATTTCGTGCAACATAAAGCAATCTCTCAGAAAAAAAACCTAGTTGATCCCAGGATTGGATCGAAAAGGGAAAAAAAAAAAGAAAAAAAAAAAAAAAAAGAAAGTCATAGGTGCTGTTGTTCAAAACTAACCTCCTACTCGGTCACGAAAATCCCAGAATACTGCTACATATAACAAGCATATTAAAAAAAAAAAAAATGCCCTGGGACTGGACTTAGAAGCCCGATCTCTGGAAGTGTTGATCATTGCAAGCAATCTGTTCAAGAAAACTCGAGTTTATACAGAGATTGGATTGGAAATATAAAATCCGAGGTCCTGATGCCCAAAACTAGCCTCCTATTCAGTCAGAAAAATCCTAGGATACCTTTTCATATAGAAAATATCAAGAAATTGCCCTGGGACAGGACTAAGAAGCCCGATCCCTGGAAGTGTTATATCATTGCTCCATTTCTCATACCTTCAGAAAGGAGGCATCAGTGAAGCATAAACAAAAGCTGAAACCATTCAATAATTGTATTGCCCAAGCCTTCTAACAGTTGCTTTGGAATTCTGAAAGCATACATCACTCAAGGTTTTCCCTGAGATTCTCACACACTAATAAGAAGAAGAGGTGCTATTGGCTATATACACACAGCAGAATATAAATCAGGAATGCCAATGTAACAATTCCAAAATCTGCACATAATTTCTTTTAACAAGGCAAGGAAGAAAATCTATAGCAGGCTAAACTACTTCTATTAAGGAGGTAAAGACAAAGCAAGCAATTTTAATGATTCTACAATAGGGACCCAAGGATACCTCCATCATTAGTCCTATCTTCCACCGGACAACTCAATAGCATCCTGATTATGAATAGAATCGTCACCCCAGTCGAATCTTCTATGCATTCTTTCATGTTCTTGCCTGCGAGTGACTTCCACAGTCTGCCATTCCTCCCATCTTGCAGCAAGACCCTCTCCTTCAAGCATCCGCACCACCTCTGACATTGCTGGGCGTTCTTCTGGTGAAGCTTGAGTACATAACAATGCAACTTGGATCATCATCTCCACTTCTTGAATGTCATAATTCTTATTCAGATTTTTATCAACAATTGCATCTAATCTTTTTTCTCTTTGCAGCTTCTTAACCTGTGATCATTCAAAAGAACAAGAATTAAAATTAAAGTAATCTGAATCCATTAAAAAAATTAAAAAAAATTTTTAAAAAAAAAAAGAAAAAAAAGGAGGAAGGATAAAAGATAAGAGAAAAAGAAAAGGAAATCAAAAGCATATGGAAGAGATCAATGTGAGATCCTCATTGAAGGGTACAAAACTACTAACACTAATATCATCACATAGACACACCTTCTATCCCAAATAGATTTAAATTTTTTAGTAAAGATCTCAGCCAAGGGTGCCAGTGAGCTTTCAGGATAATAAGTACAAATGATGGATTAATATAATTGTCAGATTAGATATGTGCCAAATTTCATGTTAAGATAGGTAAATTAAAAAATTGTCAATACTCGTACTATTAAATGAACTACATAAAAGGACATCACCTAAGAGATGAATGCTTTCAGTAAATCTTACATGATCAAGCAATAAGACGTCATCTTCTTCTTCCAAACGTGAAAAATCGATGGCCCGTTGACCTGTCACAAGCTCTAGCAGCATAATTCCATAACCAAAGACATCTGTCCTCTCTGAGGACTTCCCAGTGGACAAGTACTCAGGTGCTATGTGACCCATTGTTCCGCGCACCTGAGTGGTCACGTTAGTTTTCCTAACATCTACCAGTTTTGCTAAGCCAAAATCACCCACTACTGCTTCAAAGTCTTCATCTAGCAATACATTAGCAGCCTTAACATCACGATGAATGATCTTAGGGTTGCAGTGTTCATGCAGATATTCTAGTCCACGTGCAGTGCCCAAAGCTATTCGTTTTCGTGTAGGCCAATCTACAATAGACTCTCCAGGTTTCAACTCTGTAGAGAAATTGACCAGATAATAGCATGTTACAGATCATAAAAATAGCAGCGAAGGTATACAATTGGCACATTAAGACAACATACAAATACAGAAAATTCATTTTTTTAATCCCATTATCAAGGCAAGAGATAACATTTTAAGAAGGCCATTTCAGTGGTAATCTTGTACAGCAATTGAAAGTAGCTCCAATATGGAAAATAAGGCCAGCAGGATTAGAGTCGGATAAGTTAACACTCATGACTTTTAACTTCTAACCCTATTGGTACATTGATGATTTACAAATAGAATACAAAAGCTATCAATATTATTAAAAAATGCGTAGGGAGCTTCAGCTAAGTTTAAAGAATAATCTAGGGGTTGGAGGTACCTTCTAAAAATAGTTCAAAATTTGTTTTTCCAAGATAATATGCACCAAAAAGGCAAATATACTTTACACTATTTTTAAAATTGTCCCTATAAAACTTGGGACAACTTTAAAACAAGTTAACAGTGGAATTACTTTAAGAAGATAAGTGAAACTTAAAATTAATCATGCCAACCAACTCTCCCCCTCCAAAAAGTAATATTCATTAATTAAAAAAAAATTAAGAAGAATAAAGAATGAAAGAACGGAAAGGGGGGAAAATAGAGGTGAATTGGTTACTGAAGGTGTTCAAGTTTCTTTGACTCAAAGTTTAATTAAGAGTTGAGAAACTATCACTTATATAGTTATATCACAAAGGAAGGGAATATTACCCCGTAAACGATAAGCTACACTAAGGTTTTGCATGAATGGATACACCAATAGTCTCTCTGTTGGTGTAGTGCAGAACCCTATTAAACGTAATAGATTCCTATGTACAGCAACACTTATCATCTCAACTTCACGCTGAAAAGCTGCATCTCCTCCAGGGCTCTCATAGTCAGTTAATCGTTTCACTGCAACCTTTGTATTGTCGCCTAGCACACCTTTGTAAACCTTGCCAAAACCTCCTTGACCAAGAACATTTTTCTCACAGAAATTGTCTGTTGCTATCTGCAGCTCCCTATAAGCGAATCGTTTCAGCTGCCCAAATGCAATTGTACGATCAACTTCACCTAAATATAATCACAAACACAAAAAATTATATAAGTTCATGAGCGCATCAGTTCTATTGCCAATTTCCCATACAGATTAAAGGCTTGTTTGGTTAACATAGGAATTAAATTCCTATGTTAATTTGTATTTAATGGGAATTTATTTTCTTCATACAATTCCTAGGAATAGCCATAAGTTGTTTGGTTCTCATAAATGATTTTGTAATTCATAGGAATTTTGAGTGACCAAGGAGGAGGTAGGTAATTAACTTCCTATGTTTTGTGGGAAGTCATAATTCCCATGAATTTCCAATTCCTCCATTTTCACATTTTGTTGTTAACCAAATAACTACCCCCATTTGCAAATTCCCAGGAATTTTCATTTCCCACGTTTTTGAAGATTAACCAAACAATGCCTAATAATCTGCATCGTTATGTATAATGAGGCTTCAGATGTAAAAACAGGCACATTCAAACTTTTCAAAAACGTGGTTCTTTAAAGCATAATTATCAAGCTATAGATTAAACTTATCACTCAATTGTAATAGACTAACCTAAGGAGGAGTAGTATGGGTATTCTAGTAATATTAGTTTACTAAGTTAGTATTCCTTAGTATAAATAGAGAGGGAGGGGAAAAAATGGTAGGCAGAAATTTGTATTGAAGGGAAACCTTAGAGAGTCATGGCCTAAAGCCACTTTGAGAGTGATAGCCTAAAGCTATTAGTCTATACTTTTGTAAACCTTTTGCCATTTTCAATCAATATTCAAGCTTTAATCTTTATTTACTTGCATTATTAAATCAAAAAAATATAAACCCAGAAAATCAGTTCATTACAGACTCAATCCTCAATTTGACTGACAAAACGATAGATAGAAATGAAACATAACCTTCTTAGTGTAAAACTAACCAACTGTATGTCTATATCCAACAAAGTAGAAATTAATAACTTGGAACTCCTAACTTTTCTTTTACAAATCTAATGGTCATGATAGGTTCTCAATTTTCACTTAAGGAGTGGTTCTCATGAGATCCTCATTTTCATATCTATGTGATCGCTTGGTGAATATCTATGTGATCATGGGAGGTTGAATCGATGTGGATCAGCCCAATGATGTACGAGTATACAACAAATACCACTCAATACCCATCAAACTGATGATAAAATTGGCAGATGTCAAATATACATAGTAATACTTCAAAATAATTTGACTATGAGAAATACCTATAAGACAAATTAACACACCTTTGAAAGAAACCTTAAGAATTAAAGAAAAGTGAGCAACTAAAAGGGAGATTCATGAAACCTGCAACATCAACATAGACTTCACGCCTGTATCTTGTAATTCTACTCTTGCAAATGAAAAACAGCACACATCCAACCAGTATTATACCAATAAGCCCTCCAACTACTCCAACTATAACTCCAACTTTTGTTTTATTCGAAGAACCTGTCAACACAAAACAGTATCAGTTCAAAGCAATAGCTTCTTAACTATAATTCAGGAGTTGGCAAATTTGAAATACATAAGTACAAACACAATCATCAAATTATAGCAAATGTACAAGAACCATCATACCTTCACTATTAGCTTCAGCTACACAAGGATGGCGAAGATCTCTACCACAGCTCAATTGATTCCCTGAGAAACTGCAATCAGGGAAACAAAAGATGATAACTACAAAAGAGCGTACATCTATGCTGCTTATCCATCCATTCCTTATTTGTCTATCATTGGTACTTTTTCCGCATTACTTAAACAGTGAACAAGTAAAAAAAATATCCAGTCATTCATTATAAAGAAAGAATTAGAGATCATACTTGTATTGAGAGATTTGAAAGAGCTTCTGAGGAATTGGGCCACTGAGTTGATTTGAAGAGAGCTGGCTGTAACAACATTTACAGGTTTGTCAGACACAAAAGGTAGCTACTTCTAGCAATAACTCAAATCTTATATCCTTATTTCCAAGTCCCAACAAATTTGGGAAGGGGTTGAAATGAGAATATAAATCGGTATTTAATTATTTATAAAACAGTTATTGAATTTTTCCACATACAGGCTAATTAAGTTATCAAGGGAAGCCAGCGAGTCAGGGATAGTCCCAGAGAGATTGTTATAGCTCAAAGTCCTGCATCAAGAAAGGTAATTATAAAAAAAAAAAAAATAAAAAAAAAAAAGAAGAGGAGAAAAAGATTTTATCATATTCAATACAGATGTAGCATTATCTCAAGACAAAACAGCAAAGATGGTACTACTCACAAATATTTAAGATTTTTAAGATTACCGAGGGAGGATGGTATTTCACCAGTAAAACGATTATTCTCTAAATCCAGGCTTGTTAGACTTGACAAATTTCCAAGTTCCTTAGGAATTTTGCCAGTAATAGCATTCCCTTGCAGAGACCTACATAATCAATGCATCCAACTTACCAAGGAAGGCAAACAGGTAGCTTAAATGCTAAGAAATATAAATTGAACATTAGGAAATGATGAGTGCTATTCTAAAAACATGCTTTCAAATTTGATATCAAATCCAGAACTTCAACATTAATCAAATCCTAGATATATTTTAAAATATCCTATCACCATTCCCTAAATCTAAAGATGACATTTGAATTGATGATTCGCCTTCTGTAATAGCTCATAAGATACTTAGATTATTATCTTATCAGTAACACAAAACAGGTGAACAGAAGTTTGAGAATCTTTTCCTAGGTGACTATGTTTTGGCATGCTAACTGACAAACATAAGTTATACAACAAGATTACATATTATATTTTGAAGGGATCAAGATTACATAATGAATGTCAGTTTAAATTTTTCTAAAAAGAAAACCGTTTCAGATGTACAGAGATATGAGATATATCTTCCATAAAACAAAAGCCTCATTAGTGGGTAGGTATGTACAGAAAAGAACATAATGAAAAGTTACACCTACAGCGTTGAAAGAGTCTTCAGAGTGCCGACTTTAGGTGACAATGATCCAGATAATCCCATGGAAGACAATGTCCTGTGACCAAATAACAAAATGAGCCTTCTATAATGATCGACGTGCATGCATAGGGTAATAATGTAGAAGATGCATCAAAAGTACTTACACAGAAATAACATTGTTACTGGGGTCGCACATAACATTTGACCAAGTGCAAGGATTAACCATATTGGGTTTCCAATCACGCAGCTGATTGTCTGAAGCCTGCAATGATTGTTTCACTGCATATAGCGCCACGCCTTAAAACAGAAAATAGCATCAGTAATGATCAAAGTTTGATTAATCACAATATTAAGAACGCTACGCAACATACTGACTGCATTGATTACAATATCAGTATCCAATCTACCCCTAATGCCTCTCAAATTGATATTATCCAATCGGAGTAATAGTCAAGAGGCTAATACCTTGAAAATCGGCCAAACCGCAAGGAAGCAAACAAACGAAGGCCAGAACAGCAAAAAAAAACTCCATCACTGATGCCACCAGGTCCAGCTACTAATCCTCTAAAAGTCAATCACACAAGTATCCAATGGAACAGCATTCCTGTGACAATACTAAATCAAATCATTACAAAGATCCTGGGCCGAAGATAATTGGTCGCTTCATTTATTAACTAGAAGCAACAAATTTTACATATGACATACACATTCCTCATCTAGTAGATTTCAGTTTCACATATTTTTTTTTTTCAGAATTTTCGCATTTTTGCCTTGATTCTCCTCAACCTAATTTCTTTCATCAATCTCTATCACTCTCTTATGAACTCAATTACCCAAGTTTCATAGCTACCAAAAGTTTAAGATTCAAGAATTTATCCCCAGTTCCTATCAAATCACTCAACAAACAGTCTAAGAAAAGTTCAACTACCAAGGTTTTACCACCATTGACCAAATTCCCGCATCTTTGACCTACCAAACTTAATTTCCAATTAATACAAAAAATTAAACCACCCAAATCCGTAAAGTTTACATCTTTTTAGCACTAATCACACAACTAACTCAAACCAATTAATTTAAATTCAAGATGCTTTGATCCAAGTCAAACTTTCTGGGTACTAAGCAATTATTCAATTTAATTTCCAACCCAAACATCAGAATTTTAAGCACAAAAACAAACATTTCCCAGAACCCCACTAGTAACCACTTCAAGTTTGAAACCGCTTACCACAAATCAAATGAAACACAAGTTGAGATCAGATAAAGAATAACCGGAAAATTGATAAGATCAAATTCATGAAATTAAGCATAAGAAATTAAGTAGACATCTTCAAAAATACCCAGAACAAAAAAAAAAAAAAAGGAGAAATTAATTAGTATAGTAATTACCTGAGTATAGAGAAGATGAATTATGTCTGTTGTACTATAAAGAAGAGGGTTGATTTCTTTCTGACCCAAAAGGAAAGAAGAATTAAAAAAGCGATTTTTTAATTTGGGATGGAGGGTGGGAAGAAGAAGAGAATGTTCTGCTTCTTCTGAAATCTGACTGGCAAATGTTTTATGCAAAACAGGATTAGGGCGTATGATATTGTCTGTAATTATATTATTAGGGTGCTGTTAAAATGGGATTAGGCCAACACTTTGTAATAATTGCGCTTTCCACTCTCACTCAGTCTCGCGGTTAGTCTTCGGCAAGGAGAGAGAGAGTGAAGGGCTTGTAGTAAGGTGTTGTCGCTCATTTTTTTAGAGTGGAAAAATTACCAATGCAAGTTGTCCCCCATGCATTGTTTTCGAGAGGTAAATCAGGCGGCGGATTTTAGGTTTGATTTTTTGTCATTTTGCAAAGTAATATATACGAAGTAGTATAAGTAAATGTGATTTTCATTTGATTACGAGTATATATCATTTTTGCATCGTACGAGTTAAAACTAGTCCACTCGTCATAGTTACTTAATAAAATGCATATTAAAGTACATATAATAATGTGTTGGATTCCGTAGATATACTAGTGTTGTCTATCTCCAAAGAGTGATATTTCACAGGAGTATGCGAGATTTCAGAAAACGTTGCAATAGTATTGACTGTTGAGTAAAACATGAATTCTCAAACATCTTCCACGCTGGATCTCCCACCTATGTTTTGTCGTACTTCAACGTACTATTTAAATGGCTTCAACGACTCAACATGATGGACTCATTCTACACGTGCCTACGATCTCACTACTGTACTACTAGTCTACATACACATGTAGCCATAGATTATAGATTTGGAGCTATTGAAAACAAATTCAGCTCAACATCACATTAATTTGATCCATAATTCAATCTATATGGGGTACAATTATCTATCATGAGATTCATGACTATTCAAATTCAAAATGACTCGATTCGATTTAGTAACTCTACATATTCTTATGATCAAATCATCTCGTCAAAAAAATATGATCAAATCACTAAGGCACCTTGTGAAAAATCGTAAAATAGAAGCTTGTATAGATATATAGTATTGAAATTACACTATTACCTGATGACATACTTTATATTATGCAATTATACATCTAAAACAATGGCCATACCATGCACGGAACTTTCCAAACTTATAATTCTACGCTCATGTTAACAAAAATATCTTAATTAATTTGGACTTGTCATTTTATATAAACTTGTAATTATGTATAAGCTTATATCTATTCAAATTTATTTATATTGACTTATCTAAAATAAGTCAAATAGTTGAATACAAAAACTCTTAACATTCAAAAGCATGTTGCTATGAGACCATGATAGATGACTCAAGCAAGCAAAATTACTTGTATAATCAACGATTGATTCTCAAAAGTTAAAAAAAAGCAGTCAAAAATTGACAAATTGGCGCACTCTAATATTGATGAGTCTTGTGTGGCCAGCATGCCTAAAGATAGGCAAGAAGTCACGACTGTCTTTAGTCCAGCCACAAAAATTAGAGAGATTAGTCAACGATACAATGCATGGCCATCGCATACATAATTAATTACTACTCCGTACCATTTTTTAAATTTGATTGTTTATGTTCATACTAATGTGATTGACATGAAAATCAACATTGTAATATCTGTACGAGTTCTTGTAATATTATCATCATTCATCATATATAATATAACATAAAACCAATCCATCTGTTGTGACTACTCCGTATTTTAAGAAATAAATCACTGGCGTCACTTGTCACGCTTCTTTAAATGATCTAGTTTTTATTCAAGTTTTTTTTATGACTTATTTTTTTAATGGTGAAAATAACGGTCTTACTAATCTAGAACTCCTTACGGATCAAACCGACCTAACCACCTAGATTAACATGAGCTAGACAATTTGGGTGAGTGGGGGAAAAGGTAAGGGAATTGTTCCCCCAAATTGCCCCTAGAGGAAATTGAACCTTCATTCTATTGATTAGAATGTGCTCTCTTATCCACAAGTTAAGCCTAACTTGGTAATTTGAATTTAATTAGTGATGAACAGTGATATATGACACTTGTTACAATACTTATCGATTATTTGCAATAGATTTTTTGCTCGGCCAAAGAGAGATAAACACATCATTACAAGAATTGTACTAGTAATGGACTTAGTAGATTGTGGAATTGCTATGCTCCTTAATAATCCCCCTAAAGCTAATTCCATACACAATGCTTGGTTTATAGAGAAAAAGACCATAAGCCCAAATGCTAGTACATTTTAGTTGAAATTAGTGACTTTTTTTGAGTAGTAACCTTTTTTGTTATTGGACTGAATCATATTACATATTGGACTTAGTCAATATGGGCTGGTACAAGATCATAGCAAAATTAACCATGGCCCAGTTCAACTGTACTTTTTAACACTATTGGGCCTTGATTGCATACGTGAATTTCAATTAGCTCGCCCCTAAGAGAAAGAGAGTATTCCAAAAAAAGTTGCTAAGTTTAGATACCCAACTTTGATTCTCATTTGACAAAAAGTGTGGACCCCTTATCAATATTATAATAAATTTAGTAATTTATTTAAATTTAAAATTTTTGTTTTGAAAAACTTACAATATGAATTTAGTGGGTTATAAATTGATAGTGACATTAGTATACTTTAGAGAGTCTCACAATTGAAAAATTAGACTTTACATGACATGAGTTTTTAAATTGAAAAGTGGGTTGGGTATCACCATTAAAGGTAAAAAACAACTCATTTTGTATTTCAATACTCAAAGTTGGGTCTCACTAATAGAGATGATTTAATAACCAGTTAAAATGTTAGGTGTCCTAAACTCATTTTTTAATTTTAATTTTTTATGTGGTAGTTGGCCCTCCCAACTGCTCACTTAAATTGGGTCCCATTGATATCAATAATAGAAGAATAAATATTCTTAAACTTTTACAGGTGTATCTATATTGCTACAAGTCTTACAATAATACAATCCTAACAACTTAACAAGTCCTAGTATTAGTCAATATTTGGTCGTTTTCATTCCAAAAACTTTGTTATTGTAAAAATTAGTAATTATTTACCATTTTGGCATGTTGGCAAGCTTCATGGCCTTTTCCCTGATTTTGTTTACCATTATAGTATTAGTTTAGTTTGATAGAGGAAGTACACACAAATTTTCTAAAAAGTGAGTGTACGTTAATTTTTTGTAAGACAGATTAAAGTTATCATAAGAGTATTTAAAGTTATCCTTTATATTACAAAAGTTTATATTTTTCTAATAATAAATTTTATCTGGCGAGTGTACGTTAATTTATTGTAAGACAAGTTAAAGTTATCATAAAAGTATTTAAAGTTACCCTTTATACTACAAAAGTTTATATTTTTCTAATAATAAATTTTATCTTACAAAAAAACTTATAAATTTACAATGTATTCGAATAATCATATTAGCTTTCATAGTATGTAATCATGAATCTATAAGAAATTATACATTAAAATAAAATTCAAACCAACGACAAATTAAAAATTATCCTTTAAGTGGTCAAAGTTACCATAAAAATAGTTAAAGTTACCTTCAAATTAATCATCTTACAATAAAATTAACGTAAACCCGCCTTACACAAAACTTATTATACAAAGTGTCGGAGTATATAGTTATCTTCTACGGAGTAGTATCTTCGGGTATCTAAAATATTATTGTTTTATGCGTACAATAAATTATCTTAGATATTAAATTATTTTAAGTATCTTTTGATTCATGTACTATGTATATTATTCAATGAATAATTGAGATTGTATAGATTTACCTTTCATAACTTCATATATATTTTTTTTCTTAAGAAAAAAAAAATCTCATGAATATAATTGACAATTACTTTCCATTTTCTTTCATATTCACTACATAATCATATTCCAAAAATTATATAAAAATTCATGAAAGGCGAGACAAAAACTATTGAATCAAATACTCTATAATTCAACTCAATTTAACTCTTCGATAAACCCACGAAAAATGGTGGTTGACAGGATTTGAACCCATGGCCATAATGATAAAATCAAATAGTGACCATTGCTTTGAAATTATCGACATATAAGTTGAATTTAAACAATGTAGAATCAATAATAAATTTAGATATACTAACGGTTAGACAATCAAAATGAATACAATATCTTTCATATCTCCATATAACTAAAAGCTAATTCTAGGTAGGTTCATTAAAAACACATTTACAATTTTTTCTTCATATTAGTTGCCTATCTAGCTTGTTAGGCTTAGGCACAAGTCTTTTTCATTTTTAATTTACTTTCACGAGCTTTAACAAGTATTTATGACATTATAAATATAAATGTACAATGATTATGATATGAAAATTTCTCTAACTTAAAAGACAATTGACATTTTAATACACAAATTCTTATATGTGGCTGATCACTAGGGTTACTTCGTTAGTGTTATAGGGGCTATTCAGTTAGCGTTACAGAGTTAAATCGTCAGTGTTATAGAGGGTATTCGTTCAGTACTATAGGAGATACTTTGTTTTTTTAACAAGCGGCCATATGATGTGGCCAGCCGCACACAAGGTGCACTATTTATAAAATGACATCAGCACATATTTTATTCTAATTTTTTAAACATAAAATAGGACATATATGTCTTGTTATAATTGGTCAATATAAAGCCCAAGATTTCTTGGTAATTGATATGTTTTCCCATTTTTCTCTCCTCTCGCTCAACGCCTCTACCTTCCTCTCTCTAAACGTGATTCTCATCACCAAGTAATAAATTTATTACATTCTTTACTTGTTCCAAAGTATCCAACTTTACCTTAAGAGATCAAAATTATCAATCTTTCCAAAATATTCTCTAATAATCTCTTCTTTCCTTTATATCATCGATTAGTAATTATTTGAATCAATAATCCTGCATTCCAAAACACAGAGAAAATTTTTAAAAAATGGCAAAGTGTTTCAGCTTCACATCAACACGAGACACATGTTACAAATATTCATTCGAAAATGCGGGATTAAAATCGACGACAAAAGATCTAGGACAAGGTACAACAATGCATTGTTGGGCACCAAAAAAGCACAAACAAAACAAACCAAGCCTTGTTTTGTTACATGGTTTAGGTGCTAATGCTATGTGGCAATGGGATTACTTTATATCTCCTTTAATCCCAAAATTTAATGTGTATGTCCCTGATCTTGTCTTCTTTGGTGAGTCTTACACGACTCGGTCTGAGCGGACCGAGTCGTTTCAAGCTCAGTGTGTGATGAAAATGATGGAGGACTTAGGAGTGAAAAAAATGAGTGTTTGTGGGGTTAGTTATGGTGGTTTT